GCATTCGCGATGACAGTCGCAGTGGCAACGGCAGTCGCAGTCACAGCCTCAGCCTCAGCCTGCCTCAGCCTCAGCCTCAGCCTGCCTCAGCCTCAGCCTCAGCCTGCAGCCTCAGCCTCAGTCCCTTCAGCCTCAGCCTGCAGCCTCAGCCTCAGCCTCAGCCTTCCTGCAGCCTCGGCCTCAGCCTCAGCCTGCCTCAGCCTCAGCCTGCAGCCTCAGCCTGCAGCCTCAGCCTCAGCCTCAGCCTGCCTCAGCATCAGCCTGCCTCAGCCTCAGCCTCAGCCTGCCTCAGCCTCAGCCTCAGCCTGCTTCAGCCTCAGCCTCAGTCTGCCTTCAGCCTCGGCCTCAGCCTCAGCCTGCCTCAGCCTCAGCCTGCATCAGCCTCAGCCTCAGCCTCAGCCTGCCTCAGCATCAGCCTGCCTCAGCCTCAGCCTCAGCCTGCCTCAGCCTCAGCCTCAGCCTGCCTCAGCCTCAGCCTGCCTCCTCAGCCTCAGCCTGCAGCCTCAGCCTGCCTCAGCCTCAGCCTCAGCCTGCCTCAGCAGCTCAGCCTGCCTCTGCCTCAGCCTCAGCCTGCTTCAGCCTCAGCCTCAGTCTGCCTTCAGCCTCGGCCTCAGCCTCAGCCTGCCTCAGCCTCAGCCTGCATCAGCCTCAGCCTCAGCCTCAGCCTGCCTCAGCATCAGCCTGCCTCAGCCTCAGCCTGCCTCTGCCTCAGCCTCAGCCTGCTTCAGCCTCAGCCTCAGTCGGCCTTCAGCCTCGGCCTCAGCCTCAGCCTGCCTCAGCCTCAGCCTGCATCAGCCTCAGCCTCAGCCTCAGCCTGCCTCAGCATCAGCCTGCCTCAGCCTCAGCCTCAGCCTGCCTCAGCCTCAGCCTCAGCCTGCTTCAGCCTCAGCCTCAATCTGCCTTCAGCCTCGGCCTCAGCCTCACCGGGCATTCAAAATGCAGTTGGCTCCGGGCATTCAAAATCATGCCCAGGAATGGAGTTCTGGGACCTCGAAGACCACGAAGTGTGTAACTGTTTGCTTAAATCGACTTCCGCGGCTTCTCCCCGGATCCTGCCCGGACCCCCCTGGGGCGTCAAGATGCTCTCTTTTGACCCCACTGGAAACCTATCAGTCTTCGCTGTTAGGTAAAAAACATTTAACAAAACAATACACCGACCTGTCGGCGTGTGGAAGGCACTCTTCCGTTCGTCACCGTCGCCATCGTCGTCGTCATCGACGTCGTCGTCGTCGTCGCCGTCGCCGTCGCCGTCGCCGTCGCCGCTCCCCCCTCGTCGTTGTCGTCGCCGTCGCCGTCGCCGCTCCCCCATTTTCCCTGGGCCCTCCTCCTCGAGCGCGCCAGCCAAAGCAAAATTGAGCAACGTCGTAGTTGGGTCGAAGGGAAGCCCCTTCCCCCTTTGACCCCTTCCCCTCCGGGGGGGGGGGGGAGGGGGCCTGGGAGGGGTCTCGGGAAGGGTCCCGGGGGGTCCCGAAGGTTGTCCAGGGGAGGTCTCGGGAGGGGTCCCGTGGGGGGGTCCCGCGGGGGGGTCCTGCGCCAAAGAACCCCAAGGCGGGCGGCAAAGAGTGCCCCTAGACGCCTCCAAAGCGGACCAAGAGGGCCGTGACTCGCCGAATTATCCATCCCATACGCCACAAATGGTCTCCGACGGCCCAAGACACCGCCCAGACGCTTTACGAGGTCTCCAAGAGCACTCCAAAAAAGGCCCCAAGAAGAAAAAACGTAGGTTTTCGATTGTTTTTGAAAGATTTGGGTTTCTCTCCTTCTGGGCTTCCCAACGCTCCATGACGGCCCAAGTGGCCTCCACGATCGGCCCAAGATCGCCCCAAGATAGCCCCAGAAGTCTCCAAAAGGGTCCCAGGAGGAAGAGGCCCCCCAAGAGGCCGCTGGAAGCCACCAAGAGGCCCCCACGAAGACCCAAGAAGCCCTTAGGAGCTCCCGAGAGATCCCCAAGAGGCTCCGAAGACCCAGGAGGCCCCCCCCTCCTCGTTCACATGTTCCATCTCCATGTCCTCCTCGCATACACGGTCGGCGGCACTGGTCGTAAAGCCTTCTGAAGAACAAAAGCATAACCATCCAACAAAAGCAACCGCTTTATATAGACACAAGCAAAAAAACAACCCAACACAAAACAAAAAGAAAACCATGGAAAAACCAAGCAAAGCAAAAGCATGCAACCATATATATATATATATATATATATATATATAACATGTTAACGAACGATGCGTGTGCAAGTATATGGTAATGTAGATTGACGCACAGACATACCTATAAACATACATACATCAACATAGATTTTCTGACCGTCGCCGTACTATTTGGTTTCTCGGTGCGGCATTCAATCTGGTTAGGACGATTTTAGCGCTTGAGCGTTTGTTAGGTTCGAGGTCAGAGCTACAGGGGCCTGTCAGGAGGTCTCTTGGGGCCTCTTCGGGGCCGTTCGGGGGCCTTTTGTGACCTTTTGGGAGCCTCTTGGGGCCTCTTGGGGGCCTGCTGGCGGTCTCGGGAGTCCCGTTGGGGCGGAGGGCTCGAAACCTCAATTCGAGTTCCCTCTCTCTTCGACTCCTTCTAGGGGCCCTCTGGGGCCCCTCCTGGGCCGTCTTGGGCGCGTCTTGGGCCGTGTTGGAACCCTCTTGGGGGGTCTGGGGGCCCTCTTGGCGGCCTCTTGGGCCGTCTTGGGGTGGTGTCGAGGTTGAAAGATGGTAGACGCTAGACATGCACGTTTGCCCTAAGGAATGGGATAGCTTTTGTTTCTTGGAGCTCTCTTGCGAGGGCTCTTCGAGCCTCTGGGGGGGGCCTCTTGGGCCGTCGGCCATCTGGAGCGTCTTGGACCGATCGCTCGGCGACTCGTGGCCCTCTTGGACCGTTTGAAAGGCCTCTTGGAGCCCCCCTCTTGGCCCACCTCGGGGCCCTTGTGGGCCACTGGGGCCATCTCGGGGCCAGAACAGTTCTGTGCGTATGAGGGCGCATCGTGTGAGCACATCTATAAATATATAGTATGTTCATGCATATGTTGCTTGTCTTTACTAGACACATGTGTATGACAGTTGCGTGTATACGATACATATATATATATATTATATATATATATATAATATATATATATATATATATATATATCATAACAATATACATATATACACAGAAACATATATATAACATATATACCTATATCATAATAGCGAGAGAAAGAGAGAGAGAGAGGGAAGAAGAAGAAGAAGAAAAACAAAAAAAAAAAAAAAAAAAAAAAAAAAAAAAAAAAAAAAAAAAAAAAAAAACGCAGAGAAAGAGAACCAGAGAGCCAGAGAGAGAGAGAGAGAGAGTAATGGGGAGGCATAGATCTATGTGTATATATATTGAGTGCAGCGACAACGGCTTCCGGAAATCCATCCGACCGAAAAACCGATCAACCGATAAAAACTAATCGGTTGAACGGTTTACAAACCGATCAACCGAAAAACCGATATAATTTGATCGGTTTGTCGGTGGATCGGTCGCTCAACCGAAAAACAGATAATCTTCGTATGCGAACATAGAGGCGATTGCTGGCGCGCCCCCCTCTCTTCGTCGGTTTATCGGTTTATCGGTTTATCGGTTCATCGGTTGACTGGCTGGTCTGAGACCGCCGAGGGGGAACCTGTGGAGGCGATCCTTGTGCCGCATATCGGTTTATCGGTTTATCGGGTTATCGGCTGGTTGTCAGTCCCCCGCCACGACGACGACAGCGACGGCGACGGCGTGAGTTTTGCGTTTGGTTCTGGCGCAGACGGCGCACCCCGCTCTGGGGCGGCTCGGCTTGATCAGCCTGAGTCTCTGGTGCGGACGGAGTCCCGCAGGGGTCCGAGCATCTCCCGCCGCGCGCGATGCTTTGCGCGGGTAGCGCAGGGCCTGCGAGGGTCTCAGGCGACAGTGGCCGAACCAACTTGGGGCAGGGCATATGCGAGGTCGTTGTCTCAGACGAAAGTGGCCTGAAGAGGTCAGCTACAGGCGTCTCGGAAACCGCTGTTGCGAGGACGTCGCAGGCGAAAGTGGTCGGACCGCCATGGGGCAGGGCACCGCCGAAGTCAGAAGTGCGAGGGCGCCCCGGGCGAAAGTTGTCTGAACATCGCATCCCGGGGCAGATCGGGGGTGAGACTATTTCAAGGCTGGGCACGTCCCCCCCAGGTGAACGAGGCGAGTTTTTGCGTGGGCGGAAATGGCCAACACAATTTGGGGCAGGGCATATCAGAGGTCAGCATTGCGAGGATGTCTCTAGATGAAGAAGAGGAAGGTCATTCTGATGATAATGATGGCGATGGCGGCAGCCGCGCGGGAGGCAGAATCTGGCGGGGCAAATTTCGGTGGGGGGGGAAATCTGGCGCACCATTTTGCGTCGGTCTGGATCACATTGCACGGGAGGACGGACGGCGATCGGCTCCAGGAGCAGAGCCTCGACAAGACTCCACGAGGAGCAGAGCCCCGACAATACTCCGCGAGAGGGGAGGGAGAAGGAGGAAAGGGGAGGAGGAGAAGGGAAATGCGAAACCCCTAAAGCGCAAAGAAAGAGGGGGAGGGGGAGAAGGAGCCCCCCCCCCCCACCCCGCCTAAGCACGGTAGAAGCCGACAACATCCTAGCCCGAAGTGCCCCGCCAGATTTCGCTTCCCGCAAGACCGCCAGCGCCCGGAGCATCTGCAAATCATAGGTCGGCAGGGGGCAAATATACCACAGGACGGCCGGGGACAAACATACCAGAGGTTGGCTGGGGGCGAATATATCACGGGACGGCTGGTGCCGCCGACCACTCTCTCCTCTGGCCACCCCTCTGGCCACCCCCCACCACCGACCACTCTCTCCTCTCCCTCGTCACCCCCCTCCAAGTCATCCGCGTGCGTCCTCGACGGCGACGGCGACGATGGCAGGGAGTGACGCGCGTCATATTTGATAGGGCGCGACACTACCCCTGCAGATGCGCCCGCCTCTCCGCGCGCGTCGGCTGGCCACGTCGGCGCGCCGACGCGTCCTTCCGAAGCTTCTTGCTCCGGCTGCGTCGGCGCGTCGCCGCCTCCTCGAGGAGCTTCGCGAGGAGCTCCTGGGAGGCCGCGTCGCCGGCCGCGTCGGCGTCGCACGGCAGCCAGATGCGCGCGGCGCCAGGCGCGCCGGCCGCGCCGCCAGCAACCTCGCCCAGCACATGCTCGGCGCCTTCGCTGCCGCGCTCGCGGGCCGCGCGCAGCAGCGCGCGGAGCAGCTCCCTTCGCCAGAGCGCGCTGTTCTCGTACTGCGCCCGCGGGATGCCCGGCGGCAGCAACGTGTGCTGCGCCCGCGGGAAGCCCTGCTGCGCATTCCGGGCCCCCAATGCCTCCAGCGCCTCCTCGGCGCACCGCCTCGGGCACTGGTCGTCGTCCTCGGCGTGCACGGCCCAGATGCCACCTGGCACTCCTGGGTGCTCCTCCAGGCGGTCCAGGTAATCCTGGAACTTCCCGACTGGGTCCGTGTATGCCGGAACTCCAGCCAAATTGGGCTGCCCGTGGCCGTGGGGACCTCCCAAGGCCACCGCCTCCATGCGCGGCCGCCCGTGCGCCAGGAGCTCCGTGATGCAGTAAGCGCCGCGGAAAAGCCGAGCGCGACGACGGGCCCGCCGTCGGCGAAGCTCTCAACGAAGTCCGCGAGCAGGTCCACGCTCCCGGGCACTAGATCCCCGAGGAAGCCGTGCGCAGCGTCGTTTCGATCCAGGATCCACAGCCGGTCTCGCGGCCGCAGTGGCGCGAGGAACCGAAACGGCGGCAGTCCCCAGCTCATCATGGCCTTGAGCTTCCCGGCGAACGGCGCTCTCGCGTCGCCACCCTCGCCCCCGAGGCCGGCGAGGTAGAGCAACAACAGCTCCTCCTTGAGCGGCCCGTTCTCAAGCGGCTCATCCGCGTCAACCCCGCAACTGGAGGGCGCCACCCTGGCGGCGAAGTAGCGCAACTCCTCGCCCGTCGCTGGACACCGCCAAACGATGGGGCCCTGGAGAAAGCCGGCGGGGCCACTCCACGGCGACGCAGCGCGCAGCAGGTGGGCCGGCGGGGGGCCGCCTGGGGGTGTCGGCCCGCGCGGCGACGCAGCGCTCGGATCAGGCTGCGCCGCCGCCTGCGGTCCCGCCTCGTCCTCGAGGTCCAGGTCGCTCGCGCGGGGACTCGGTGGCGTCGACTCGCCGCCTCCTCCCTCGTCCTGGTGCTGCTCGGCCGGGACAGAGGGCCCCGCGCTGCCGAGGCCTGCTGCTCGGCTGGGACGGGGCCTGCTGCTCGGCTGGGGCGGAGGGCCCCGCGCTGCCGAGGCCGCCCCCCTTCCTTGGCTGGGGCGTGGTCGGGCCCTGCTCTCCACTCGGCTCAGGCCCCTCTCGGGCTGGCCTTCCCCTGGGGATCGAGACCTCGATGGTGCTGCGGGTGGCGCCCGCAACAGGTGCGGCGGCGGGGGGCCGCCTGGGGGCCTCGGCCCGCGCTGCGACGCAGCGCGCACTAGGTGCGGCGGCGGGTGCCCGATAGGGGGCACGCTCGCGCGGCGGCGCATCCGCGCGGCCGCCCAACGAAACTGCTCGAGCCAAGACCGCAACAACAACACTCCACGAGGGCCTCTGAGTGAGTGCCCTTGGAGCTGTCGCGAAGCCCTGGGAAGGATCCCAGAGGGCTCAATCAGAACCCAGAGATCCCTCTTCGGTCGTCTTGGGGCTCTCTTAGGCTTCCCCTAGGGCCATCGGAGAGGACCAGGACGGCTCCAGGACAGCTTCAACAAAGCCGCCGGAGGGACACAATTAGGATCACCCGGGAGGCTTCTGCCAGGTGATCTTGCGGCGGGAGACCGAGAGTTATGAGGATGTCTCATGCGAAAGTGGCCTGAACAGGTCAGCTCTACGCGTCTCGGAAGCCACTGTTTCGAGGATGTCGCAGGCGACAGTGGCCGGACCGCCATGGGACGGGGCACCTCCGAAGTCAGAGGTGCGAGGGCGTCTCAGGCGCAAGCGGCCTGAACACCGCATCTCGGGGAAGATCGGGGGTCAGACTACGTGAAGGCAGGGCGCATCCCAGGTCAACGCTGCGAGTTTTTGCGCAGGCGGAACTGGGCAGCACAATTTGGGGCAGGGAAGAATATCAGAGGTCAGCGTTGCGAGGATGTCTCAGGATGAGGACGAGGAAGGTCATGCTGATGATAATGATGGCGATGGCGGCAGCCGCGCGGGAGGCAAAATCTGGCGGGGCAAATTTCGGCGGGAAGCAAGTGCGAGGATGGCTCAG